AAACATGAATTCGGCAATAATAAAAGGGGGTAGCGCACGAGACCTAAAAGTGGATGGATGCGGATACAAAGGATTTAGACAGGTTCAGGCCCTCTCAATGAGAGGTAATACCCTACTCCTGTTTGGGGATTTGAATCCGCCGGGTGTAGTATAGATCTGACGATCAGGTTGTCTCATGCCCCCTAGAGGGCTTCCTGCCCACCTTATATAGGATGGGGGGCAGGATTACAAGATAGAAACCTTAACCAACACGGTATCGGTTTCCTAAATCTACTTTACAATATTATCAAACCAGGACTTTAGGCCGTTCCATAATATACAAGGAAACGTAATACCCAAGTCATGATCTGTTACATATTCCATACATATATGTTATCCCCTATTACTAGTCGGATAACCATGCCGTGTGGATATGGGGTACCCATAATCTCCACACTTCTAAAGACCACATTTGAATCTGAGTGCATATAGAACCATAGACAATCGGTTGTGCTAGCTACTCCCTCCGTTTCAAAATGTTTGACACCGTTGACTTTTTAGCACATGTTTAACCGTTCGTCTTATTCAAAAACTTTTGTGAAATATGTAAAGTTATATGCCTACATAAAAATATATTTAACAATGAATTAAATGATAGGAAAAGAATTAATAATTACTTAAATTTTTTGAATAAGACGAACGGTCAAACGTATGCTAAAAAGTCAACGGCGTCAAACATTTCGAAACGAAGGGAGTATTATCTTTGTCACAAGATAAAAACTGAATCTTTTTATTTCTTGCGGGCATAAAAATAAATATAAATCTGAGCCTTGAAGGACGAAGAGAAACAAATGCATGCCTTCACGTATGGAGGCAAAGATGCCCAATTGCCCCATCATTCACGGAAACAGGTCAATGACAGCGAAACGGAGAGTCAAGATCCTCGAGACTTCAAAGAGATGTCTTCTAGTACTAATATATCACCATGGACTTGACTCGAAGAGCATCATTGCCAGCACGCACTACTGCGTTATACATGTATCCTGCATTCTCTAACAGGTAATAAGTACTACATATATATCGTGCAAGGGTATAATCCGTTTCAAAATATTAAATAAATTCTAAAACTGAAAATGGACATTACTAAAAAAAAAGAAGGGAGAATAGCTAATGTGGTCCCTGAAGTTTCGCTTCGGGCTCAGTTTAGTCCTTGAGGTTTCAAAACGTCCAAATAGGTCCTCCAAATTAATCATTTGGGTTAACATAGTACTTGAAAAAAAAAATGCCACATAAACATGCCAAGTCATTCTTGCATACAACAATGACCATTCTACCCTTACCATATAAAAAAGAAAGAAAAGAAAAAAAGGAAACAACAGATAGAGTAATGGTCCGGCCTTTTTGTTCGTTCCTCCCTGTTGTTTCCTTTTTTTTCCTTTATTTTTTTCTTTTCTTTTTTTTATATGGTAAGGGTAGAATGGTCATTTCATTTGTATTGTTGCATGCAAGAATGACTTGGCATGCTTATGTGGTATTTTTTGTGGGTCCAAGGACTATGTTAATCCAAATAATTAATTTAGAGGACTTGTTTGGACGTTTTGAAACCTCAAGGACTAAACTTAGCCCAAAACGAAACTTCAAGGACGCATTATAAAATATGAAGAAGAGATTGTAATTGGTTGAGAAAAATAAAACTGATAGAAAAATTAAATGGAGAATAGATATATGAATGGTTTGAGACGTGGGAGTAGGTGAAGAAATAATTGTATTGTAAAATAATATTTAAATAATTAGAAATAGTTTATTTTTAGACGAAGGGGATCGTAGATGCCTATGGTGTTGGTGCCGAGGACATGGAGACACACATAAAGAAAACGTTCAGAAAAGATAGGAGTAGCTACTAGGCCGAGATGGATGGCATAGCCCATCGTACAGGACGCCCCGGTAGATGGGACAGTAAGACGCTTTGAAAGAAAACCTCAGCTCAGGCTTGCTCTTTTTTTAAGTTACTCTTTTTTTTTTCACAGAACAACGCAACAGAATGTCATCCCTATAAACGCATGCACGCACGTAAATCGTACCCCTATGAGCATCTTTAAAGACTGGGCTGGTAAATCCTTGAGATTGACGAAGTCACCACAGGCGTCTCGCTGTCGACGGTTACGTCAACTACCACTGAAAGCATAACGCCTTGCTGTCGACAGATACGCCACCTACCACTGAAAGTATAACGCCCGAACCCAGGACCTTATATGCTACACTAGGTTACAGGCCCTTTCGAGTAAGATATATTTTTTAAAATTGCTAAATGATATGTTCTGTATAAATTAAATTTGTGTTATAAAAACTCGGACAACCATGTCTGAGATACCCAACCATCTTTTCAGTCGTGGAAGTCTCTTTTTTGAATGAAGTTCTTCTGCATCTTTGCAGAATAAATGATCACTCAAGCAGTTTGTAGATGATTGGTTACAAACTTTATATCTTTTCTTATAACCTTTTATAAATATTTTTCTTAATAAATAAAAATTACACTGCTGGGCAAACTGGCAGTAATTCCAGGAAAAAAAAACTCGGACAATTATGTATTGATTGCTATTTTATTTTACGTGATTTTACTTAATCGTTGTCTTCGGCCTAAATTAAGCTAGTTGTACGTAGTAGCAGTTCGATACTCCAGTTTGATACATTATTCATTGACTTGACTAAGAAACATTTTTTTATATATGGCGTGGCGTTAACCGAGAGAGACGCGGTCGCGCACGCGGTCGCCGCTGCCGTGAGCACCGGTGCCGGCGGTGCGTCGCATAGCCATATAATAAGCGTACGTGTCTTATGATAGTATGACGTAGAGTAGGTCTAGTTTTTGCTTGACTCTTTTGGAAGAACGGCCGGAGACCGCCTTGACCACCTTGAGCCTTGTGGTCGTACTATTGGACCAGCCACTACCACGTCGGACCGTCGGTACGACCACATCATGTATCCAAGATTTAAATGAAGATATTATCTCTTTTTTTTATAGCAAGATTAAATTGTCGACCGATATCCGAGTATCCATTTTAATACTCTGCTTTAGAGCAAGATTAAATTAATACAGTTTGAATTAACTTTTCTTTGTCTTGGTGATAAAAAATAATACGCGTAAGGGTGTGTAAGAGGGTGAACTTCTCGAGCAGGGGACTGTGAGGCCCCCCTTTGTTAGTTCGGCCGGAGGCCGCGAGTGAAAGTTGAGGAGTTGGAAGGATGGAAGTATACGGCGATGTCGAGGGGGTCAGGGCCCTCGATGAAGATGAGACAAAAAGGGTTTATACAGATTCGGGCCACTAAGGAGCGTAATACCCTACTCCTGTGTATGATGATTTTTCTGAGCTTATAAAGTCTCTGAATCTCTGGTGTACAAGCTAGAGCTAAGCCTTCGACTCTAGATCCCCCCTTCTCGCTAGACATGTACCTCCTTTTATACCTCAAGGGGTTATTAGATGGGCCCAAAGGTCTATTTAGGGAAGAGGGAAAATATTCTCTACATTAAATATGTGTCTTGTGCCTTAACCCGGAAGTCATCTGCACGTCGGCTGCTGTGCGGGGCTTATCAAATCATACCGGCTGACACGGGGGATGCCCCTGCCACTCACCATTTAATGGAGGAGGACTTGGGGGGCATGCATGCACCAGGAACACAATCTCGGGCATGTCTGGAGCAGTCAAGCCGACTCCAGACTGGTCGAGAGGTCCAAAGCCTCTCATCATTATGATGGGACGGGCAATACCTTCCACACGCCGCCTGACACACGATCAGGGTGTGAGTGCATTGCCGCCGTCTCATCTGTCATTTGGCCGGTCATAGACCGATCGCAGGCACACAGCACGCCGCATTTAATGTGACGTGGTGCGCTCGCTCCGTCCGCATTAAATGCTAACCTCATACGCGTGGCGGCCACGTGATGACTGTCGCTGGGGGCGGCCTCTTCCCTCTAAGCTATGTACCCCCGGGCCCATATCACCGATAGGGCACACGATGAAAGATTTTAGCTAATTAGCTGGACGGAAAAGAGAAATATCAAGAAATATGATTAACATATTATTAGTTGAGTATTAAATATTTAAAAAATTAAAAAATATTTATTTGAATTTTTAAAGTACCTTATATATATATATATATATATATATATATATATATAACAAATCGTTTAGTAGCCTGAAAAACATGTTAACGAAAAATGAGAAGTAGCTAAGCTTAAATAGCACTTTTGGATGGAAGGAATACCATACAATCTGCATCGGAGTGCACTAGCAATTAATTAATGGCAATCGTCAAGCTCTTTTTCTCTTAGACCCTGTTTATATGGGACTAAAACTTTTAAGTACTTGTCACATCGGATGTTTGGACATTAATTATAAATATTAAACGTAGACTATTAATAAAACCCATCCATAATCTTGGACTAATTCATGAGACGAATCTATTGAGCCTAATTAATCCATGATTAGTCTATATGATGTTACATAAACATTCTCTAATTATGGATTAAATAAGCTTAAAAAATTTGTCTCGCAAATTAGCTTTCATTTATGTAATTAGTTTTGTAAGTAGTCTATATTTAATACTCTAAATTAGTGTCTAAATATAGAGACTAAAGTTAAATCCCTAGATACAAACACCACCTTACTATGATGGCTCGTCACAAACACGCCTCTCAAGCTCTTAAACGATGCATTTTTTTTTATAAAAGTTTTCTACTACCTCGGTTTTGAAATATATATTCATTAATTTCACCTAATTCATTAATTAATGGCAATCGTCAATCTACAAATTAATTTTTGTGTGTGTTTTACAATTCTGTGATCATATATATTCATACCAAATATTTGTATTTTTTTCTGTTAATGAGTTTTTGTCAATCCTGCGTTACGGGTGGACGTAAACATTTTACTGTGTCCGTCCTTTTACTTCCAGCATAAAAAAAAACATCAACCTTACTGCGGAGCACTAAAAAACGTACTTAACCTGGGTGACTACACAGTTGCATCGCATAACAGAGCTATATATATCTTTATTATTGGGATGAAGTTCACGCAAGCTGTAGTACTTAACCTGCAACTACATCGTTCACACTGGTTACCCAGTAGTATCAATACGATGACATATGCTGCGTGGTTCGATGCCGATCACTGTAGCAAACCTGCACGGCAATGGGCAGATTCTGAAGAATGGATTCTAGCGTTCAGAGTTTCACGCCTTGCCTGAGCCACCTGCGCCCTTCAGTACCTCGTAAACCGCTGAGAAATCCAGGTCCCCTAGTCCCAAGCTTCTTGCTTTCTTGAACGCCTGCGATTCAGCAAACCACAGTGATGAGTTCAAGCAATCAGTTGCTGTGTTTTCAGCTTTCACAGGTTGCGGTGAAAAGGGGGAAGAAAGGCGTCGCACCTCGTTGGAAGCAGCTGCCACTGGCATGGAGACAGCGTTCTCGTCTCCTAGGGCAAGTGCCAACCTCATATCCTTCTGCTGGTGTTTCAGGGGAAATGCAGGGTTGTAGCTGCCTTGCAGCATCGAGGGCCCTTTCAGCTTGAACATTGGATTCGCGATGGCGCCAAGGTCCTGAAAGACAATGATTTACTCGGTGTTATTTGATGCTCAATTGTGAAGGAGGTGGCTCCGGTAGAATGAAATTAACCATGTGCCATACCAGGACATCAAGAAGTGTCTGGGGGCTCAAACCACTGTTATCAGCCAGAGAGAGTCCCTCAGACAAAGCATTCATCATACTGCAGTAAGAAACAACATTACTTGTATTTTATGAGAGGAAAAAACGGCAGTAAATGAATGACAGTCCAGAAAGATACAGGAGATATGTGCATGTGCTAACAATAGGGAGCTTGCATTCATCATACTGCAGCAGATGTTTATAAATAATTAATAGATAGTCACCTTCCCATGATCATGTTGACCACCAGTTTCATCTTTGCTCCATTTCCAATCTCTCCCAAAAAGAACGACTTTTTCCCAAGTACATCAAATGCAGGGACCATATCATCATACAATACCTGTAGCAGCAGTATAATTACATCAAATGCGGAACAGATCTATGACATAGCACTAAAGCAGTAGTGATTTGTATCTTGCTGGTTAAAATTGTTGAAAACTGGCATAGTCGACACTTGACAGGTTTAAGTATCAGATTCGGATCATCAATCCATGTCGTGACTTATTAGATGCTAACATCTAAACCAAATCCAGCCTATATAAGCTGAGTATTTCTTTGGACTTCAGGCAAATGCTGCAAAACAATAATAATATACACCGACACATTTTGTCGTTTGCAGAAAAAAGATAAAATTGCCACAGTGGTAGACCCATATATAAACTAAAAGCCATTATGGGCACTATAAATTTTGTAAATATAATCACAAAAGGTTTATGATCATTAGGCCATAATCATCAAAAGAACTCAACCGGATGCATCACTTATACCAAAAACTAACAAGCAGAGGACCAAAATATGGTACAATCATTTATACCTAGAAAAAGAAAGACTGTTTTTGCGAAGTGTCACCGATACCACTAGTTTACAGTAGTAATTGCAAACAATCATCATAGCATATGGAATTACCTTGTCCCCTGCAGCAAGAATGACCAATTGGCCATCTTCAGCTGGCTTTTTGCTTCCTGAAACTGGAGCTTCAACAAAAGCCCCACCTTTTTGTTTTATAGCCTGCAAACATGTATTTAAGGGAAATCGATTATAAACATACCTTGGTAGTTATAGAGCACACTCAATTCGGTCATGCTGATGAAAACAAATATAAATAAAAGACACCACCACAGCAATCCAGTGGAATTAAAAATGTGCTGAACTTCCATGCTATGATGCTAATGCTTTCTTTTGGCTGTTTGCTTGATGTTGAAAACTCAGAAATATGCAAATATGTTGACTTGATCAGTTGATACTGTCAACAGTACTGAATTAGTCTCAAACTTACTGCACAAGCACATACTAGTTCAATGGTCACATATGTGCGGTATGCTGGAGTCCTTATGTCATAATCATGTGAGGTTCTGATTGAATGGAAATCTATGATGAAGTGGCATATCTATAAATGTGCCGTGTTATACTCATACTACCATGCATGTAGTCATCAGACAAAACATAAAAGGCACAATACATGAGCGGTTGACCACCATTCAGAATGTTATGCCACTATTACTGGTGGATTTTTATACATCGGTGAATAAGATTGGATCATACTGTGACCACAAGTGCATTAATGCAGAAAAAAAAAAGCAAATAGCATGCATAAACAAAATGGAATTGTGTTCATAAACAAAATCACCTCTTATGATATGCGGTGATGCATTAACGATTTCCAATATTTAAAGTAGGGCTTTCCTTACTATTTAAACAAATAAAAAAAATCAAAGCGCCGAATGTTTAGCAAATTAAATTAGCTGTTGAGTATGTAAAGTTTGAACTTTAATATTAACCTGACAATCTACAATACTCCTTGATAGATGTTGACCCTTGTTAGGTTATTAATTGTGAACTACAAGTATGCAGTCTAGTACTGGGTTCCATGTTATCTTAGTGAGGTCACCGGTAGTATTTTAAAAATATTGCCGACAGTTTTGTATGGGAATGGCTTCTTTGCTCTACCAAGATGAGAAGGCTGAATGTTAAAAATGGCCTCATTTGCACATACTCAGGAGCCCATTATTCACCAAGTGGCCATGCTGTGTTATGATTCATGCAATACTGTTTTCTGGGGAGCAAGAAAGTGGCTCAATTTGTTCATATTTGGTGACATAAATCAAACCCTGGTAGCCAATTGCATACAGACGGCCAAAGAGATAGATATGATATTTGGCTTGTCATTATTCTTCCTTCTTTCTAACTGCAAACGATTAAAAATATGTTCTCTTCCTCCATCGTCCACTTCTGTTAAGTATTCACATGTTTTCATGGAATATTCCCTCGGATTACGATATAATTCATTCTGTGCTTGGCAGTGTAACTAGGATGAGGTATACAAAATAACTTGTTGCCATTCAATCAAGGGGACAAAATGGCTCTCATTAATGAGAATGGCAGCATTAAATTAGTAAGGACATAAGAAAACACGAAAATGCCTACAAGGCTAGAAGCTCTGCGCTTTTGCAATGATTTATAGTAGAGAATAATTGTCTGTTTTAGAACAACTTACAAAAGCAAAACGAGTGAGCACTACAGAAGGTATTGTCGTACATGATGTGGCAAGATAGTGAAAAAAAAGGGAAATGCCAACCTCTTAGGTCCATATCTACACACAGGAATACATGGATGCAAGACAAATTGTCATGGTGGTGTTCAGTTGAATATCTTTGCAAACCAGGATGGAAACTGTACACTAACAGGGTCATCGATATCAAGGAATATGCTTGCGAGCAACATATATTGCAGGATCTAATAATGTGAAATTAGGTAAGGTACTCAGACAGTCAAACTTGCAGGATTGTGAAGATGTAACTGGCCAATCGCACTCAAGAAATTGCACGGAGGCAACAAGAACCACCAAACTAATTACTAATACACGATTAATAACTCATCACTCATACATACATGAATTGAAATAAAAATAATGGGGGCAGGGCAAGGCAAAGCCATCAGGGAGGAGAAATGTATACCTCGCTTATCTTGCAAGAAGTGGCGGCATCAACAGTGGACATGTCCACATAACCCTTCCCTTCCCCAATCTGCTCGAGCACGCCGTCCTTGTCGAATACAACCTAGATGAATTTAGCCCCCAAAAAAAAACAAAAAAAAATCAGGGAGGACGCCATCTTGCAAACACTAAGGAAGCAGGGGCTAGGGCTTAACAGATAGCGCGGCGCTGGGGTCGGAGAGCATGGCGATGGTGTATCTGCACTTGGCGACGACGGCCGCCGGCGTCTCCCCCACGGCGGCGCCCAGCGCGACGAGCTCCTGGCACTGCGCACTCAAACACGCGTCAGGGACATCGGATTACTCGAATAAACTCATCACCAATCTGCGGAGGAGGAAGGATGGATGGAAAGAAAACCTTGGAGAGAGTCCGGTTCCAGACGGTGACGCGGAAGCCGTGGCGGAGGAGGTTGGCCGCCATTGCCTTCCCCATGATGCCCAGCCCCAGGAACCCCACCTCCATCGCCCGCGCGCAGCTACCTCCTCCCTCCTCGCCTTCGTCTTCCTCCTCTCGCCTCCACACACGCACGCTGCACACTTGTGTTCTTCTCCCCCAGTGTTCTTCCTCTCTCCACCAATCTCTCGATTTTCTTTATATTTTCTCCATGGTTTTATTTATTTTATTGCGTTTTATTTCCACCTTTTTGTCGCTTCTCTTTTGGGTGGACCGGATGCATGGACCAGGAGATCTGGGAGCCGTCGGTGGAGGTGATGGATGGACAGGATGCGTCCACGCGTCGGCGTCAGATGATGGGCCGACGTGGGCCGGCGCATCGCATCCAAATTAATCAGCCGGCCGCATCGGCTCCGGGGCGGCGGAACACCACGCAGCGGATGAGGGGAGATGTGTGGCCAGTGGGGGTGTGACACGTGTGCACGCTGGGTAGGTTAACCTCGTCGTGGGCTGACCTAATATATGTGGCCCAAATACCTCCTCTTGAACTGTGGCCCATGGCTCTTGTATCAACTGGAAGCAGGAGAATTGAACTGCACTGCACTCCATCAAATTTGGGTTTTTTTTTCTTTCCTTTTTCAGAAGATCAAATTCCTGAGTTCTAAAAAAGATAGTTCGTATTTCGTAATGGGCTTTTATCAGACGGCAACCAGGATCTACATTACCCCTTTTTAGGGCATTTGAACCACGGTACCGTAGTAAACGATAGAAAAACCAGACAAAATTTTACCAAATTTAAAATTTTTATTCAGATTTATTTAAGCTTGGTGAAGTTTATCAGGCCCTTACTATTATCGCACCCTGATGATAAGCTCAATAATCGGCAGTAGGAAAAACCCATAGTTGAGAGATGCAAATGGAATTTCTCTGTTTCAAGAAGACCGCGATACAAGAAAGATAGGAAACTTATTCTCATAGAAGCTTCTGCTATATGTTGGGCTCTATGGTTGAGTAGGAATGATATGATTTTTGACAAATCACCATCTGTTTCATATATGCAGGTAACTTTCAGGGCAACACATTGGCTCAGGTCTTGGACATTGCTACAAAAGTGTGATGAAGAGGGCGAGCGTTTAAAAGTTGCATGTCGTAATCTTGAGGCAACGATTATGCAAATGTTTACCAATTTTGGATGGGGATTCACAAACAGAATTCAATAATTGTGTACTCCTTATCCTCGGTTGGTAGGTGTCTTTTTTTTGTGTGAGAAACTTTTTATTTTGTGTGCTGCTCTGTAATAATTGGCTGTAGCTCGTTGAGCAAAGATCGGGATATTCTATTCCATTATCTAAGAAAAGAAGACCGCGATAGTTCATACCGTGATGGTTCGTCGTGGACTTTAATCAGACAGCAGCCAAGTTTACGGGCATGTTTGGATCTCTACCCTACCAATTTATCAATAATACTAAAATCTAGGCAAACTTTGATACTGCCAATAAATGGGTAAAGTAGAGTTATTTAGCTCATGTTTGGATTGGGACCAATATAAAGCCAAAATTTGATATTGTAGTGAAGAAACTACTTGAATTTAGCCAAATAAAACATGGGTGCTACCTATTGGTTGGCCTTAATCCAAACTAGCACATTTACTATTTAGATTGCCAAAAATATTGGTAAGACACATTTTGGTATCAATCCAAATTCCAAAATGGTCCTAGTAGTTTTATGCCAGTAAGCCCGGTAACAATGGTTATCACAGTAAACAGTAGGAAACCAGATAAAATTTACTAAAATTAGAATTTTCGTTTAGATTTTATTCAAACTTAGTAGTTCTGAAATTTATAACAACACCGTGACTTCAACACTATACAATTACTAAAATGAAAGTTTTGTGAGAAGTGCTTCTATGCTCCTTGAAAAAAACCTGCACGGAAATTAAAGCACATCAATGGTTCGGATCAAAAGGTGATTACTAGGGTAAACCGTCATTACCAAGGGGCAATTTCGACCAGGAAGTGAAAGCCCACATCCAGCCCAGGCCGATCGATCCATCGATCTGGGAGGTCGACACGGCAACAGGGCTAGATGGTGAAGATCACCAGATCAGCCGGGCATGTGCGAGGAATGGGAGGGCGACGAGCTGTGAGGGCTATTGTCGACTTGTCGTCGTTGCGCTCGGCGTTGAGACAGATTATACAGTATGATGAGATATAGGACCAGTTCTCGAAGGGCAGTGTGGTGTGGAAGCGGCAGACCAGATGGAGAATGGCCGCATCCTCTACGGCGGCGGCCATCCATGATGACTCAAACTCCTGCATGGTAGAATACCCGCTTCTTGTACCTAGTGAAACCTAGATAGAAATCCCAACGATTCTCCTGTTTTTTGATTCAGTGATTTTCGTCCTTTACAAAAGCTAATCCTTTTGGCCGCTTGACATAGATGATGCAGATCTTATCTGAATATCATTCCAGGTGCGTCGCGAGGGAATTGCCGTCGCGAATCGATCGATGAGAGACGGCTGGGTACGGGGTGGGTATGGATATGAACTTTTGCTTCCGGGACGAAATTGCCCCTCGCTAATGAGGTTTACCCTGTTAATCGCTTTTTAATCCAGACCATTGATGTGCTTTAATTTTTGTGCAGGTTTTTTTATTGAGGAGCATAGAAGCACTTCTCAAGTTTTGTTCTTTTGAAAGAATAGATTTTCTTATTGATTCCTCACTTTTCTGTAGTTTTTCCTATACGAGTAATTCCATTCCAATGATTTCACCGGTGACCTATTCAGTTGGGGCTTTATTTATCTGTGCAACCCTTCGACAAAGAAAGATATTCTGAAATTAGATAACTGGTTGTAAGAGAAACCCTAATGACAACTAGCTCAAAAGAGCTATATGCAACAGCAATATAGGTTTTGCTCTACACCCAATTTACATATGTAACACTGCATCAATCAAAACCATGTAAAACGAACTGCTCCGAAAGTGGAGCTAGCGGCGCCATTGAGTCAAGACTGCAAAAAGCCCTTTCTAGTTTCCATTAACTTTTTACTGAAATCATGTTCACAATAATTGGCAGTAACGTACACCAACTAGGGAACTTGAGCGGAAAACCGACCAGCTCGGGAGGTGGCTCTACCACTGATCTGAACTACTCCGAAAATACTCTTCTTCCGCAGTTCATCAACACGCAATAATTCCGATCCGAACGGTTGATGGTTTACACGTACATCGAACTCTTGTAGCTTGGTACCACGTGCTAGTTGATCTCTAACAACGACGTGCATTTCTGAATCCTTGTTCTGAATTTCTGATCTCTGACCCCGGAAGTTTGGTACCCATGCACCTTCTTGCCATGTTTCCCTAATCCACTATGCCAATGTTGGTGTGGCAGTTAGAACTTGGAAGACAGCATCTCAACCAACCCCCACATTCTCTCCCTCATTTTTGGCACAAACAGCATGTGCAGCCCAGCTCTGTTTCCTCTCTGAAAAAAAAATGGTGAAGGGGCATGACTGACCATACTGGTCTTCAGAATACTAGTGCTGATTCCCCATATGAAACAAGAACACAGTATATATGAGACTATCATATAGCAGCTGGTATGGCTATTATGGATTCCTCCTGTTTTTAGTCAGTCAAGAGTCAATTTTATACTGCTGCAATATGCAACTGGCAGGGCACTAGAAATGTGTTTTTTTTCAGGTGTTATGGGATAGATGCACCCTCACCGGGTAGCTCTGTATAGCTTAGGTTGTTTGATCCCAACAATCGGGTAGCTGCCAACCTCGGTGGTTGAGACCACGACCAATTCAACTTGACTGTTCATTTGTTTGGCATTCTGATCCGGAAACCTTATCGCTTAATATATTTCATTTTTAAAAATATTTAGGGCTTGTTCGGTTCAAAGGATTTTTCAAATCATAGGAATATGAAAAAGTAAAGAATTTTCAATCCATAGGAATTTTTTCAAGAGGTTTTACCTCATGCTAAGAATCGTATGATTCTAAGACTACGATCCTTACTAATTTGGTAGGAGCTATTCCTATGAAACGAATGATGCTTAGAGAAAAAAATCATATGGTTTCGATCGATTCCTACAATAATCCTTTGGAAATCCTTTGAACCGAACTAGGCATTAGGATTGGACATACTTTTAGTGGGATTAATCTAGTCTCTACAACCAAGATGTATCTGGCTACTTAAGGTTGGACATATAGAAACCATGTGAAAATCTACTATGAACAATACTTTTTATAATGTTATATTCTTTTCTATGTTTTCAAATCAATGGTATATACAATAAAAATGTACAAACCATTGATTTTACTAGGGAAATTTGCAAAAATCACCCCATGAATTATAATATTATGAAAAGTAGCTATGTCCAGAATATTTAAAAACTAATGGTCAAATATTTTAAATGCCACATCGATGTCCAGAATATCATGTTTTTTTTAACCAAAGTAAACAATAAATTGCAACGTGGTCAAGTGATGTGGTGATGAACTGCACTAAGTTAATCAGATAGTATTCAGATTGTTCACATATTGGTTGAATATGCACCTGGCTTATGAAAATTAAACCAGGATTTATTTATCCTGCTGGCATGTCACTGTTAATGACCTGGTGGAAGGCATGCATATACACTGCATGCATGAGGACGACAACATTGATTTCGCAGACGATGCTACACCAAACCATTTTTCTTTTCCTCATTATTGAAGCAGTTACCTCTCGATCCAACCTTTACGTCAGTTAATTACTTAAGCCAACAGATCACTACTAGGGCTACTAATCAGCCAACTGGGCTACTGGAGTTGATACACACAGCGCCTCATCGTTTGGCATATTCATATGTTTTTCAGCCAAAATTTGAATTTCTAACTTTAAATTTGGAGCTGATTTTGAGGTTTTTTCATCGAAGTTTATTTTTAGCCTTTGCTTTTAGATTGCTAAGAATACATATATAAAAGTTTAATTCATATATTGATTTTCGTTTGTAAATATGTCATTTGGCATATTCAGAAAATATGCCAAACGATGAGGCTGGCAGACACACAGCCGATGATGTGTGGCTAAGAGCAGGTACAATAAACCAGCTAGCATAAACACATTTCGAGGAGATAAAAGAGAAGATAGAAAAGCAGCGAACTATAGATTTATAGTCAACTGCAGCACGGACTCCATATAATACG